AAGACCGAGAAGAAGCCAGTGTTGAAGAAATCCTTCGATGATAAAACTATGGCGGAGAAGAAGCCGAAGGCTGTGAAGATGCATCTCAAAGATTATTTTTTGGTGTTGCCATCAGCTTTTTGCCTTCTCCCCTTATTTTACTTCTTTTTTTTTATTTGGCTTTTAACATTTACTCCCTCTGTTTCAATTTATGTGAACCTATTTCCTTTTTGGTCTGTTCCAAAAAGACCCCTTTCTAAATTTGGAAATAATTTAGCTTAAATTCCCAATTCTATCCTTAGTGAGAAGCTTTTATAACCACACATATACTGTGGACCCCTTTTTGAGTTGTTTAGGATCACAATTTCCAAAAGTCTTTATTTTTCTTAAACACCATGCCCAATCAAACAGGTTCACATAAATTGGAACAGAGGGAGTACTTTTTTCTATTCTCGTTAATGTTAGTTGGAAGTATTGCGCTTTATGTTTGAAGACTTTTTCTCCTCAAATTGTTGAAAATTAAATATCTATTGTGGTTAGCATGTTAGTCTCTGGTATTATATTTATTGTAATTTCATTGTTTGATATTTTAGGTTTGTTTGACTTTGAAGGTTAATTTTGTTGCATTTGGATTATTTTGATTTTGAAATGTATGGTATTGCTAATCTGAAGCAGCATCTCTTTCAGCACTTCCAGACTAAGGATCTGGGCAGATTGAAATATTTTCTAGGTAATGAGGTCGCTCAGTCTACCTCAGGTATTGTTATTTCACTAGCGGAAGTATGCCTTTAGACATTCTTGAGGTAGACTGGAATGATGGGCTGCAGATATGTTGACACTCCTATGGATCTGAATGCTAAAGCTTCTGCCTGGACAGGGGAGCCTCTTAGAGATCCTACGAGATATAGGACGTTGGTTGGCAAATTGAATTACCTCACAGTGACTAGACCTGACATTTCTTTTTCGGTGAGCGTTGTAAGTCAGTTTATGGTTCTCCCTGTGATAGTCACTAGGATGCAATTGTTCGCATTCTTCGGTATATAAAGTCAACTCCAGGCAAAGGGTTACTATTCGAGGATCGAGGCCACGAGCAGATTGTTAGGTACACAGATGTTGATTGGGCAGGATCACCTTCTGATAAGCGTTCTACGTCTGAATATTGTGTTCTAGTAGGAGGTAATTTGGTCTCTTGGAAGAGCAAGAAACAGAATGTAGTTGCTCGATCTAGTACCGAAGCCGAATATCGGGCCATGGCTATGGCAACGTGTGAGCTAGTTTGGGTCAAGCAGTTGCTCAAGGAGTTAAACTTCGGAGAAATCAACAAGATGGAACTGGTATGTGATAATCCAGTGGCTCTTCATATTGCATTAAATCCGATGTTCCATGAGAGAACTAAACATATTGAGATTGACTGTTACTTTGTCAGAGAAAAGATACTCTCAGGAGAGATAAATACAAAGTTTGTGAAGTCGAATGATCAGCTTGCAAATATTCTCACCAAGTTCCTTACTGGTCCTCGTATTGGTTATATATGTAACAAGCTCGGTACATATGATTTGTATGCACCGGCTTGAGGGGGAGTATTAGTTAGTTTACAGTTATGTATATAAGTCAGTCTAGTCCCACATGGGAATAGGAGTACTATGTACTTTGTAGAGTATAGCTATAAATAGAACTTCTTGTATTATATTGAAAGACTAATATCAATAATGAGATTTTTCTCCGTGCATTCTCACATAAACTACATGCACCTTTTTATTACAGAAGGATAGCTTATGCAATTCTAATGAGCACTGAAAGTCACTTGTTGCAGTGATCTGCATGATGGGTCAAGTCAACTTGTCAATGGGAAGTATCATAATTCTCATAGTAGTACTGTGAACAATGGTTGCGTTGTTACATAAACAGAGAATGAAAGACCTGTTTGAGGAATTTATGAGGCAATCCAGGTAAGCACACAAATTAGATAGCAGCTTAAAGAAGGAAATATCTTCCTTCATATTTGGAGTACTATGGTTGGAAAGAGCAAGGGAGTATTAAGGAGGAAAGAACACTTGGTATCTTAGAATGTGACAGTGTCCATTGTTTGAAATGAAACTGGAGTAACTATAGTAGTAAGATCACACCAGGTGCCGGTAAGGAGAATATATGGCTATCTGAATGCATGAGAAGCTACTCCGAGGAACAGGTCATGATATGGATATATGCCCAAAAGGATTTGAAGCCGTGATAAGACTGGCCTATATTATAAATTGACAAAACATGATAGCAGTTTAGGCAACACAAGGTCCGATAACCGACCAACCACGGAACTACTGGCTCCAAAACTCCAAGTCACAAGCAGATCAGGGAGGTTAGTGGTCCCAAAGACATACTCTCTAGATCCTACAGCAGTGGAGCCTTAAACAAGGTCAGAAGCACCAACATGGTTATGCTGGAGGCAAGACTGATTCTGGTTAAGGAGGCTGTTTGTCAAACCTCTGTTGTTAGCACTTAGCAGGCCAAAGATGAGTCTTGAGTCCTCTTGTTCACAACTAGAAGAATGAACTTGTTATGGCAGCAAAAGTCGGGAAACAGGACAGCTAGAAGGACCTAAAATGAACCTTGATCACTTGTTCACAATTGGAAGAATGGGATTGTAATGACAGCAAAATTTGAGAAAAAAGACTAGCTCAGAGAGGCACCATTCTTTTAGGACGCATCCCTTGTCAATGTGTTGGTGTTTGCAACAACTAGCTAGACGTCAATCTCAGGCTGAAGTGCCAGTGTTTCCATACTCTGGCTTCCTGTATTTCTTGATAAATGAACCACAAAATGACTCATGGAAGGATGGAACAACATCTTCAGTGCCAGGGGGATAGTATCCAATACCATATTGGAGAAAACAGCGAAGGAACTTAGTCTTTCCTATTTCAATTAATCTAACAGTTTGGACGACAAGGGAAGACTTGAATTTCTATTTGAGGAGTTTATAACAAATTTATCACCAGGGTCAATGAATACTACGCAGAAGGTTGGTAACATAAAGACCACATGGCCACCCCTGGAAGCTACCTCACAAAAGTGGAGACGGTACAGAAGGACTACACCTATTAGAATTCCAAGTTCAGATTGTATGTTGAAGGTCAGTTAAAAAATATAATTACCACAAACACAATCTTAAAGACTGCCAGATTAAAGAAGTACACAGTAGAATAAGGTGAACGTCTCAACTAACACAGAAGATCAAAAAAGTTTCAGTCATATGCTAAATGAGAAAACCACCCAGCAAAGCAACTACAAGGCACCAAGAGAAGAGAAACACCTTTAGCAGAACTGCACATTCATCCATAAATACCAGAGTCGTCAATCCAGTACTCGTGCAATGCAATGCAACAGAGAAAGCAATATCTATTGAGCCCAAAGAATGCAGATCCTTCCTGCCAATCATTGGTGAAGTACATTAACTTTAGCTTTAGTCCACAATAATTTCAGAAATATCCAGGAAATTACTCTGACAAAAAAAACTGAAGGAAATTTCTATTGTGACAGTCGCCAGTGTTATAAAGAAGCAAACAAAGGTAAGACAAGTAACAGATTGGGACTTTAACATGAAAGTACAGTTTTTACAAGTTCGAAAATAAAAGTGGACTCCATGTAGTAAGAACACAACAGTATAGTAGACAACAAAAACAACTTAAACTTTCCTTGTTGCATGTTTTCTGATGGATCTTTTGCTGTTTACAGACTGATACGGAACAACTGCAACAAACCCACTCATTTCTTCGGCACACATCTAAGGATCATACCTCAGAGTTTCTTAAGACAACGATGGATATCTCAATCAGGATGAGCAAAGGCGTTGAAAAATTATTCATGTACTAAATTACCATGTGATTTTTTGTTCTAACTGAGGATACTTAATTGCTTGCAGACTCAAGTATAACATGCACATGCTTGAAGACAGAGAAAAAAAAAAGCACGAGAGCAGAACAAATACCTCAAAGATAACAGTTGGATAGTTAAAGGATTTAACACGACAATTTGGCCACCCTGATTATCCCATAACTTGTCGAGGGAAACTTTCAGACCTTTAAGTTTCATGTAGGCACAAAGTGAAGTGCACCCTCGACTGCTATTAACTTCACCATTTGGTTTAGCAATATCCATCTGCTGAAGGTCCTTCAACGGTTTTGCATCAAAAACTGCAGTATCTCCACTTGAGGAAGTCAAATCAGACTCCAAACTTGGTGAGACACCCAGTTCAATGTCGTCAGCATCAAAAGAAAGGTGTACGTCATTCCCAAGCTTAAGATACAGATCCGCGTCCGCACCATGAAAATCCTCCTTTCTCAATGTCAGCTTGATTCGTGGACCAGCAATGTGTACCGCTATTTGCATATGTTTCTCAGGAAGAAGTCTAGGCACCATAACCTTAATTCCAGAAGAAAATGGTTTGTAATTGCTATTCCAATCTGCAACTAGCGGATCCTCAACTAATCCAGAAACTCCCTGTACAGCAGTGCTCCCCATGCGGCTAGTAGTCCAAGGTATCGCACATATCTGTCTGCAAATAACTGTAATTGACACTATCACTAAATAATCCAGAACTAAATTCAACGTCCCCATTACCATGCAACAACTAGTGTATCCAGCAGTAAGGTTCTTGAGGCTTTGATCGGTCAAAAAGCCCTTTATCTCACAAAGAATAAAAGGATCCTCCATGTTCTGGATCTCATTTTCTCCAAATCTTGATGAATATTTTCTCCAATTCAGGCATGCTTGTTCTATAAGAGATTTCGGGGTATGTACAAAATCTCCATCAGTATCACGAGGAGGATTAGCCCCACCACTTTCAGTGGAGTGGAGAATTTGGTTTGGCTCTCCCCATAAAGTAGGTTGCAGATTGTGAAAATTTTTTCTCCGACGTCCTTTGAAGTTATTATTGAACTTATTGGTCTTATCTTCTGTAAGATAAGAAGAGACAACCTTCAAGGATCCACATGCAAAGGAAAAATACTGTTCAGAGACATCTTCGGAGTACCTTAAGCAGAAGAAATCAATGGAGAGACAGAATCTGACTAAACCAGGGTATGAAAGCCCAACATCTGATAGCAGCTTCCTACTAAAGGATGGATAAACTTCAACATCTGGTGAAATTAAAATGGAAAATTCCCTGACATATAGGCAAATGTGACTTCCTAGGATGGAATCTTCATTTATGGCGCCAAGTTTTTGACAGATATCTTGGTTCCTGACCAGCAATTTCTTCAAGAGGAAAAAACATTTAACAGAATGAAGCACACTGCTAATGAAAATCAATATAAGGGAAAGTGACTGACAAATTTTCCAACAAATCCTGCTCATCCTAGATTCTTGACCACCATCCTTTGACTGTTGACCAGATGATGCTGCTCTACTACGGATTATTCTTCGTGCCTGCACAATGGCCTCAACAGGTAGTTGTTTTTCAATTTGAGAAATAACCTCCCACTGTTGCTTAAAANATAGCCTTTCTTCTTTTTCTTCTTCTCACTTTAAATAACTTCTGAAGGGAGGAAGAATGATGTATATGTTGTATATACATACATATACTTTGTATAATCATGTATAACCATGTATATTTGTGGGTATTCTCATAGTTATACAGAATTATACATGATTATACACAATTATACAAGATTATACATAATTATACATGATTATATTTGTGTGTATAACAATGTATATAAGGTGTTTAATAATGTAAATTTTTATTTTTTCCAGTGAAATAAGAATTTCCCTTGCAAAACTTTAAATTTTACAAAAAAAATATAAAAATAAAATTATAGACTCTAAGGATGAATATATTTTTATTTTTTACTTCAACTTGCTGATATTGTTTACTATACAGAGGGAAGTAAAAAATAAATAAGAATGAAAAATGAAAAAAGGGTAAAGATAAAAATGAAAGAAAAAAAGTGAAATCTGATTTAGGCGTGATTTTGGGTGTAGTTGATGAAGTTGTGGGTTAGGCGCTGAAATTATTTGTGGGCTACCGCATGAAAACTGTATTTGTGGGTTAGGCGGCTGAAAAGTGCTTTCCCCAAGTGTACTTATGTGAAATTATCCCATTAGTTTATGGATAGAAAAACAAATGGGTAGACAAGGGGAAATAATTTTATTTTTATGGTAACTGTGTCAAAACCCCCTAATTATACCACTTACCTCCACCTACTATTTGTGATCATAACAATCACGATATTAAAAGACGTAATTAAAAACTTCTACTAAATTAAATTAATTTTTAAAATATAAAAA